GACTCTCCCCACCCCATCCCCGGCCGCCTGGAGGGAGACGGACCCGAACCCCCGGTGTCACCGAACCCGACCAAATCACGGAGCTGCGCCCCAGGGCCCCTGGTCTGAGAAATGGGGACAATCCCTAGGGGACCACAACGCACTGAGGATAAAGAAATCAAGCAGACTTCTCGTGGCGATGGAGACGTTAATGTGAAAAAAACGAGACGCAGAACGAATTGTTCCCAATTGCTTTTTAGAAAAGAGAGACACACACACACACACACACACACTTACTAATATACATAAAAAGCTTCTGAAAGGATACACAAGAAACTTGCCAGTGAGTGGACTGGGGACAAGGTGGAATAGAAACTTACTTCTTGCCATACACTTGTTAGTGTACTTTGAATTGTTAAACATAGTATGTGTTTTGTAGAATTATTGAGGAAATTCAGTTGTCTCAGGTGAATATAAAACCTTAAAAATGTGTTGTGTTGACACGTCCTTCCTAAAGTAAACAGCGTTTTATTTTTAAACTCACCTCCCGCCCCCAATCTCACGCTTGATTGAGATTCTCTCTCACGGGTGAGGGAGGAAGGAGCTCCCATAGAGGCGGGAAAGTTTACGGGAAGAAACGGGGAAGAATCAACTTTTCTAAGTAGGCGAAGCTTTTGTCGAGACTGTCAAGTCACGCGCTGGTGTTTGTTTACTCGCTGAGGGGAGGGAACTGGGAGGACCAGTGCGCTGAGAGTTGAGTAATGGGAGGGCCGACGCCCTTTCCGAGCTGAAGCAGATCCGACCGGGGACACGAGGCGTCGGAAGCCCACTTTCTGCCCTTCCTGTTGGGATCTCACCGGAATACCGGGCAAGCATCAGACTCCCTAGCTGCCCTCCCCAGTCTGGGAAAAGAAAACGGGCTAGACTGCCGGAAGCCTGACCTTACGTCGTGACTCTGGGAGCCTGAAATTGTACCTGCGTAGGCGCAGGGTCAGCCGCAGGCCCCTGCGCGCACGCGCGGGCCGCCCTATCCCGGCGGTTGGGTCGCGTCACGTGACGGGCTCGGCGCTCCGCCGTCACGTGACGCTCGTCCGCAGCCTCTGCTTTCCTCGGCGGGCGCCCCCTTCCGC